CTGGCAGTCCAAACCATATACTGACTTCTTTTTAAGATGTAGCCACACTATTGTGTATTTTTCCGTCTTGTGTAACCCACATGGTCACACCATCTTGTGTGATCCACCCTTCATATTAGGGTGCGTGTAGCCCAAAAAAAAAGAGCCCCCACAGTAATCAGCGCCCTAGTTTTCTTTGCTAGCTCAAGAATGCGCTTATCCTATCTAGACCTACACTCAACGTATACAATGCTATAATTTCTAATTATAAAACTCTCGCTTTCCTATCGTGCGACTAGCAGCGCACATTACCATAGGCACCTCTTTTTCGGTGCTTCACCATGTAGATGAATACCGATATTTCGGCAATTACTCAAAGTGCAATATGAATTCCATACATTTGTAATTGCTCAATTGTACCAAATGTGTAAGGAATAAGCCACAAGATTCCAATACTTATCGTAAGTGGAATATGCTACCCTCCATTCAAGCACAATGCCATCGAAGCAAGCTAAATGAATGGCAGTTTGCATTGGAACGGACACTGCCTCTCCCATCTATCACATGATGTATTGTATTTGAAATTTAATATGACGCCTCAAAATGATGCAAAATAATATCGCCTTTCATACACCGAATACTAATTATTTGTACTGTAACATAATCTACGAAGAAGCTCTTCGCTACCAGCTTCAGTAATGACTTAAGCTAAGAGTTTATAATTCTGGTGAATTCCACACACTGCGAATCGAGTTTGACTTTGACATAGCGATAAGCATGTTTGACTTTAAAATTGATTTCTGCAGTGTAACGGTTACATAAGCGAATTATATGCAAGAATTGTGCAAGCACAGAATTATAACTTGAGCTGACAATTACAATTTTTGCAAAAACATGCAATAACAGTACGACCTTGAAAGCAAATCTTTTTTCCACATTTTACCGCTTTACCTTTTTTATCTTTTTTGATCGCGGATTCGTGAAATCTGACTTTTTTTTAATTGTCGTGCTCGAATAGCTTTTCACTGCCGATTTTAAATTACGCGGACTGGCCGTTGTATCTCGAAAATATTTATCTAGAAGAGCTTCTGAATGAATGCGGATTGTCTAATAATCGACAAGCGGCATTAACAGCCTGCTAGTAACCAAACATATAGTAGCTGGCACAAGATAGAACCCTTACGTTTCTCCTGCATGCCATGTCTCATGGAAAGAAGAGAAACGCGGAGTGGAGGAACAGAGATCGGTACATAGCATACGGCAAAGTTGGTGGTGCACGGGCTAGTAATTATTCTCTATGCAGCAGCATGCCTCATATTATCTCTTGATTGCTCAGGGTGTGGCCCCTGAGGATATCCAAAAAAGGTGGATATTCTGTAAAAAATGGCCAAAAGCGTGGTGGTCATACTTGAATGTGCCATCTTGCGAAAATTGTAGCCGAGACAAAAATCTCTTACTTTGCGTCGGTGTTCTACAAAAATTACTCAGACTCATACAATCCATAGAGCAGGAGATCGATCCAGACGACAGTGTAACGACGGCACCTGTTGTGCCCACTGCATTGGGGTGCTATCACTACTGAAGCTGCAAATTCGTCAGGCGGAATCGTAGCATTCGCAGCAACGGTCTCTAGCTATAGTCTTTTACGAGAACAGGATAATAGTCACGTTATCACTTCCAGCGGGTCGGTGAATTATCTCAAGTTCCACAAAAAAGCAATTATTTCTATTTACAGCGGTGCCGCATAGACATAGCTTCCTGTGACGACTGTACCGTCTTGCAAGACTTGATGGTCCGGACAAAGCAGACTTTGAGTATTTGTTCGCTTGCAAAAGTAACCTCGGCCTAGAAAATTCTGCGCCAGCACTTGCACATAGTAAATTTTTCCCGAAACTAGTCCCGAAAGCAGTACCTCCCTGACTGAGGATGACGTTGTGGTCTCGATTGGGGTTGAGAAATCGGTCATTTCTGAGTATTGTATAAGGTACTGCTCAAGGTCTACCCCACCGTAAGCCATATTAATTGCACCTATGACAGGACAACTTGCTGGTGTTTGGAGTGTGCCAGCACAAGGGTAACCATGATACGGAATCACGGGGGCTAACCACTTAACACGTAGCTCGCCTGGGACCGAAGTAGGTGCAACAGTAAGCGTATTGGGTTTGCCTGGGTACGTTACCGCTGGCACAAGTGAGGAGGGTGTCGAAGTCTGGGGGGTTCCCTGACCACCACGATTTTTTGCAAAAACCCGGACGTAATAAAGCATTTGTGGTCTGAGTCCTGTAAGAGTGTACGATCGCTGTGTTGGGTCATTTATAGTGACCGTCGTATCAATTGTCAAGGAAAGCGAGTCAAAGCCAGCTGTAATATCCCACTGAACTGTGTAAGCCGAGATAGTATCACCTCCATCGTCACTCGGAGGCGCCCAGGATACAGTTAGCATCGTAGCACTAGTGACACCCAACGCCACTTGTGTCGGTGCACTAGGAGTCTCGTATGGCTGCAATTTTGTCGGTGAAGACTGCTGAAATGGCCCGTACCCTAGCGAATTTCGAGCTCGGATACGGAAGAAATAAGGAGTACCTTTAACCAACGAAGATACAACGCGACGATACGGCGCACTCATACCTTTCACGATCGTCACAACTAATGTATTTTTGATTGTAAACGCGCTATCGACAGCCCACTGAATTTCGTACGCTGCGATAGCATCACCGCCATTGTCGTCTGGTGGACTGAAGAGAAGCACAAGCTGTGACAATGAATAAACTGCGAGTATCACAGTAGTAGGAGGACCAGGAACAACCATAGGTTTCTGTGGGTTTGAAGCAAAACCAGGCTTTCCAAAGCCAACTTCATTGTAAGCCGATATACGAACATAGTAAAGCTGTCCTTTGTTGAGCGCACCAATCGATGGCACATTGTGACTACCGACACAATCTAACGGCATAACGCCGGCTCGTACTTTCGTGACCACCACATCATACGTCGCAGTCAAGCACAAGGTCGGATCTGCACACGTTAGCTTGACATTTGTTGCAGCAAGCGCAAAACTGTCACCAGGATCTAAAAATGTGATGGACCACGTGTACCCTCCATCTACCGATTGTGTTGTTCGCTGGACATCGACTCCGTTTGTAATACTATTGAAATAATGGAGCTTCGACTGCATGGAGCCTGACAGTTGTCGACGCCCGAATGGAAAAGTAGTCATACTGGGGCATGTTGGACTTTTTACGGTACAAAAAACTCTTGAGTTGGCAACAATGCTCGATCCGACTTCGTCGCGTGCTGTGGCCGCTGCATTCCAAGGAATTGGCTCAGAGATACTGATGGTGTTCAGATGGGTGAGCTCTAAATGAAAGTAGCCAGAAGCAATTGTCGATGTAGAAGCAGCTGGACTCGTGCGAACAGTTTGGACTCGCCAGACGGCGTGCGTTGGTGCATTCGGACACCAAACATCCTGCTGACCTCTATTGATAAACATTGGAGACGGATCATACTCAATTCGGTACATACGCACCGCGTTACCTCCATCGCTGATTGGTGGCGCCCACGTCACAAGGAGTTGCGTCGCGACGCCTGGATTAACCTCGACAGAAATGTTTGTCGGTGGACCTGGCAACTGAAGAGGGGGGGTTACAGGCGAAAAAGAAACTTGGGATCGCATTCCTAGTCCAAGCGCGTTCTTAGCAGTCACAGCGATGTGATATGCTTGACCGGGTATCAGGTTTGGTATTGTGTACGTTAAAGTAGCGGCGCTCGACGTCTCGTAGAAAGCGTAGTCTACTGCTATTTCACCAGAGGATGCGAGTTCGACAATAGAGCGAAAGGGTGAAACTTGCTGTTTCAGGGCTCCAAGAGCGGGAGGCCACGATCCAGGACACGACACAATGTTGCTACCCGGTAAACAGAGCATTCCGCTACTATCCACTGCATTGTCGCCGTCTTTGACTCCAATAAATGCGTCAGCTGGTGTAACTTTCGAAGATTCTACAACTAATGGAGGCAAATTTCCCACGATCGATAGGTAGGTAATTGTCCACACTTGGCCAAGCGTGAATGCCTGACCTGCCGCTTCCATGGACTCGAGACGTACACTCACTACGCCAACTGTACTTAATCCCTCAAGCGCAATCTTCACATTCATGGCGCTACTACGCGCTGGCAAAAATGCCGTCCATGCTGAACCCTTATATCCAAGTCGGAAGTACCCTTCTACAGTTGCTGTGGGGTGGTATGTCACTAATACTTGTACCTCGGCCTTTCCCGGGAACGTTGTTACAGATGGGACAGTAATTCCAGACGTTAGTTCAAATACTCGCCCTGTCACGCCGGCGCCACCCACGACATTGCCAATCTCCAACTGAAGCATAGGCTGATCTCCACCATTCACGTCAGTGTTTGCAAACGTAACGATCCAGTGATATCCGAGATTATTATTGATAGTATTGCGCGAAACGTCTACGTAAGATATCGGTAACAACGCACCAGAGGCGAGGTTCATAAGTGCGCTTCGAAAATTCTCTGCAGTCACGTCACTATCCAAAAACTCGGATTTTCCTCCACGAAACGAGAGCGCAAAGGATGCAGCTGTGGGTCGCATGACCCATGTAAGCTCCACCACTTGAACCTCTGGTCTTGCTAATGCACGCCACCATTCAATTTTGTAATTCGTTAGTCCAAGACCGCCATTGAGAGGTGGCTTGTGCCAAATTACCGTCGCTGAATCAATCAGACTTGAAGATGTAATGAGCGTTGTTACCTGAGTATTCACCGGTGCATCGGGATGGCGTTTTGGAGCAACAGGAACCGGCGCGAAGGTAGCTCGACTGTAGCCGATCGAGTTTTTGGCTTTGACCTGCGCAAAGTATCGCGTCCCTGTCGTAAGGTCCGTAAGTGAGTAGACACGCGGTCCGTTAACGTAAAGCTCGGGAATCAAACCACTGGTCGTAAGAATCTCAATCGGATCATTCTTTGCAGCGGAATCAAATGTCGACACAGTGTCAATATCAATCCAGAACGACGTTATTGCAGAGCCACCCGATCCTTTTCCATCGCGTTGTGAAGGCTGGATGTGCAACTGGAGAATTGTACCAGAGAATGGATACAATACAACAGAAACTGGCGCATCTGGTGCACGGTCTTTTGTTACAACACACAGTGGCAAACTCCATAGACGATTGTTATGAGGAACGCCACTTAGTGCAATCTTTTGAATTGGAACGGAATTCACAGCTGCGACGCGCACAAAGTACTTGACGCCGATAGCGAGATTTGAGATTAAATATCGATACGGCGGTGATGTCTGAATGAGAGCACCAGAGACAATCGCCGGTGGAAACTGGTAGTGCGAAAGGGAGTATGAGCGTGAGTGGAAATTTTCACAGCGATGTCCTCCGATCACTTGGACGACCGTCGAGCTCATGACATTTGCTACCTCTAAAACACAGCCTAGTTCCAAAATTGAGATCTTGGAACTAGAATCAAGTATATTACCTAGCAAAATAGTGACAGTCAGAAGAACACCGTTCAATGCTTTTGCACATCCAGTACAGACTGGTAATCCGTGCTTGAACGTGCCATCGAGATCCCATTGAACGATGTATGATGATATATCTTCGTTAAACTTTGAACTCATACTAGTCGAAACTAAACGCGGAGGAGAGAAGAAAACTTCAATTTGCTGCCCTGACGTCACAACTAGATCGACATTTGAAGGAGCGTCAGGGACTCGATTAGGTGTTGCCATAGTTGGACTCGCCGGTGCGCGGCCTTTGCCATTGCTGTTGTACGCATAAACTTCAATATAGTACGGTTGCCCGCTGATAAGCTTCTTGGACGTCTGCGTAGGAAGATAGTAGCATTTGTCGCAGCGTTTTCCAGTGACTTGCACAGAAGCATCAGAAGGATGTAGCTTTGGTACCTTTGCGTACATATAATCCAAAGGGGACACGACACTCAGCATATCTACAGTCCAAACGTATCCTTTTGTCCACTCATATACGGTAACCGCAGTGTCTGTTGATCCAAGATATCCAATTGTTCGCCCCTGAGCGTCTCCGAGATACAACCGTGTCTTGTGCAGTCCTGGTGAGCTCGTGTCTACCTGAATAGTATACCAGTTTCCTCCTATACGAATCATATACCCTGGTAGTCCATATGCAGCTGAATAGAACTGACACGTCTCACCTGCGCTGCAGGTCACATAAAATTCACCATGCGTCACGTCAACTTTACCAGGCAATGGTTGATACGATAATTCGCGCGTAACACCAACAGTATTAATCGTCCCGAGAACTTCCAAAGCATACCGTACTTGATCTGCGCTAGACACGGCATTTAGTGGTCGAGTGTAAGAATCTTGATATCCGATTTGAAAGGTCCCACTCATGCTGAGAGTGGGATCATGATTGTAGATACCGTTAATTGAGGCATCCGTATTTACCACGACCACAGCATCAGCTCCATTGTCAATTCCTCTAGTTATGGTCAGAGCAGCATTTGTATAAACTTGATCAAACACAATCTTGATATCACTCGGTGTTGCAGACTTACACAACACCGTCTGCGTTACACTTGACACCCTGATATTTCCAGCTTCGACATCAAAAAGGGATAACAAATATGTCTCGACATCACCCAATGCCGCATTAAACCCAACATCTGCATGCTTTCCGTTAGAGCTGAAGCGTACTGTTCCTACACTCGCAGTACAGGAGAATATGATCACTTCTTTGCGAAAATTAGTAATGCCAGTCTGGGTTTCTACCACTGATGCTACTGATGGCGGAGTCGACTTTAGTAACGGAAGATCTCCAGGTTGCGTTGTGAAAGTGATGAGTACTTCGGCCCCCACTTCCAACATGCTTCTGACAGAAGACACGACAACAGTCCCAATACTGTCAAGAGCTTCCAGTGTCGTCTTAAAAATCGCAACAGTAGTGGCTCCACCAGCGCCGGCCGCGACAGTCGTTAGCGGATCAGAAGTAAGTCCGCGAAATGACAGCGTAAATGTACCCATCGAAAGAATTGTCACCTTTTGCACCTCATGAACTGTACTTTGGATCCTATTGTTAGACCATGCAAAGCTGGGGGCGCTCACTGTGATGCGCTGTGAGCGATATATCGTCTCAGGGTCTAAAATAACGATTTCTGTAGGGTCTGTAAGAAACTGGTCGGATGTATCCCACCGCACTTGATACTTTGTAATGGCACTACCATAATCAGTTAAGGGTGGATCAAAGGAAAGCCACAACTGGTTCCCCAAAGCTTTCGAACCTTTTGTGACCTCACGAGTGAAAACCAAAGCATTTTCGCCTGTCAATGCACTTGAATTCGACTGCAAAAGCGGTAAATCGCCAGAATTCAGAACGTCATCGAGAAAAGTGACTAACCACGTGTATCCACCTTCCGAAGTGGGTCCAGAGCGCTCCACATCAACCTGACCTACGCCATCTATAGCTTGGAGCTTTTCCTGCACCGACGAACCGTCTGGCAGAATTGCAGCCATTGCGAGGGCATCACAATTAATTGCAGTCGTCACTTTGTTTTGATACGAGAGAGAAAAAGTGCCACCTATTGTACTTCCTTTAATTATTTCTCGAACCATAACGTGGTTACTAGTACCTGACAATAAATTGGTGACAAGTAGAAGAGGTGCATCACCACGGTAGTCGACAAATGTAATGGTCCAAGTGAACCCCCGCTGTGGAGATGCTGGTGATCGCCTCACTTGCACTGTACCAATCCAAGCCACAGCCTCAAGCGCATTTTGAACTACTTGGGCATCGGCATCAAATGGAATTGGTGGAATTCCTTCGATTGAAAAAGACCCGCTTATAACGTTGCCGTCGGTCAACGTGTCTGTCTCGCAAACTGCACCAGGCACCGTCCTAAATGTCGTATCCACAGCGCAGATAAACTGTGGCAAATCTCCATCGGCG